CACATATGTATGTTTGTGAGTGTTTTTGCATCAATCTTTTTTTTAAAGTTTTTTGTCGATTTGGAAGAAATTATGGTGAATATTGAAGAAGTGAAAAATGATAAATTCAAGAAAATATGGAAATACTTACACGGAGACATGAAAACGCTTTGAAATTTTGTAGCATTTTTTTGTTTTTTATATATTATTTTTTATCGAATAAAATACTTATTCTATTGTGTTTATAGATTAGTAAATAAAATGAGTTTCTTATGATTTCCTTACAAATATTATATAGTATATGAAATATGCATATATGCATTTGTAAAAACATGCATATATGTACCTAAAATGTTGATTTTCTTTTTTGTTAAAAAATTATAGTATTTTTTAAATATTCTACTTTTTTTTAAAATATATTGATTTTTAAATGCTTTTAAAAAAATTGCAGTTTTTTTTTTAAAACAAACATTTTTTCAATTTTTTATTTCCAAAAATTCATGTTTTCTAAAAAAATTAGAAAATCTGCACTTTTAAAAAAAATAAAAAAATACTATTTAAAAAAAATCCAAAAATTTGATTTATTATATAAATTTTTAGACATTTCTATTAATATTTCCAATAACATAAAAAATTAAACATTAAATGAGATTGGTAAGATAACGATAATGCCCTTTATAAATTAATTTTGATCTAACGCTCCACTTTTAGTTCTCGGGTTCTCGGGAAACTATGAGTTCTTAATCGATCTCACCCATATGTATAGTAGAGATCTTCAGATTCGACCTCAGCCACATATTTCAAATCTGTCGCTCTAACCCTCCGACATACCGGCGCGGCAAACATGTTATAATCATAAATGGTTATATAGCGTCACCCGTTGCTTTCTGCTCGGCCACCATCCCCACCACCATAACCGCCATCGCCACCACTACTACTACCACCTCTGATATCAGCCGACCCCACCACTGTCACCTTCGTCACTTATACCACTGCCACCTCTGTCACCGCTACCTCTTTTGTCACCAACTGTCATAATCATATATAATTATTCAATAACAGATATATATGTATAATCATTTATGATTAGACATATATATATATATATATATATATATATATATATATATATA